GAGTACCCCCATTTCTGGACACGACGTTAGTAGTCACAGACAAAATTGGTCATACTAGGACACACCTCTAAAGTCAGCATGAAAAGAGCTATGCGACCCTTAATCTTCAATAGCAGCTCATCATTCTCAACGGTGTGAAGTTGACTCGTAATAAGTTTGATCGCACTCTGACACATCGAATCCCAGAGATCGTCAACCTATGCGCGAGTTAGCACCAATACAGGCGTCTAGAAGATACAACGTACATCAGCTTGAGATCGTAAATCTGCCGTCTTCGACATAGTAGCCTTCTCAATGATAGCAAATCCCGCGATGCTCTCCAACAAACTACTTAGATCTGAGCATTCTTCATCAAGCAAATTCAGCTTAGTCGGAATGATCAGGTCCTTTTGCGTCCGCCGATCTGCAGCGTACTCTGATTTAAATTGTTCCCTCTTGCCAAGCGTTTCGTTGATGTGCATCGCTTCAAAAAGTGGCGAAAAGTCAGTCTCGTTTCCAGCCTCTTCGTTGTTCAGCACATCGAACTCGTCCGTCTCGTCAGCGACAAGCTCAATTGCAGAATTTAGTTTGAACTTGGCAAATCGGGGGTCCGCCTCGGCACGATCCTGGTTTCGCGTTCTACGCACATCGGTGTAGTAGAAAGACACCTCACCCAGGAACTGCGCAGACTCTCGAATGCGATACAGCCATGTACTGAGATCGTTCTTCACTGCTTCCCTTATCTGCTCTTGCGTCTGTGGAATGGACTTTTCGATCAAGCTCGCGATCTTAAATCGGTTGATCTCCTTCAGGTGGATGGTCTGCAGCTCGTCTAACGCGCGGAGCGCCGCGTAATAGTTCTTTTCCCTCAGCATGTCCTGAACTTGGTTTGCAATGCGCAATACGTTGAGACATGCGTTCAGCGCTGTCGTTGCCTCGTTGATATTCTGTCGTACACCACGTGAGTCGACGAGCGCTTTCTTCTGCTCGGCAAGCTTCTCGATACTCTCTTGAATGGCTTGGTTCAGTTGCAAGATCTCACTGCTCATCTGGACTGTCTGGTCCCGGATCCTCAACATGGAGTCGACTGAGCTGACGAAATCTTGGTGATTTGCATTGCAGATCCGTTCAATCTCTGATTCTCGATCATTCGCATACCGATCGAATGTGTACTGGAGTTGATTCGAATATCGCGCGTCCTTCATAATTGGGATAAGTTGGTCAATATAGTCCGAGCCCATAGAGGACTGTGAGATCTAGAGTCTGTCAGAAAACATGGGCGGGGGATAATCTGCAGCACAGCATATTACTTGTTTAATGGCTAGCCATAGGTCATCCTCCGGGTCTATGGCAGAAGGCATCTTGATGCTGATGCCTTACGCGTCGTTCGTTCACAAGTGATCTTTGAGACTGGCGAGCACCACAGGCGATATTCAGAACTTCACGGGGTCTCAATGAATTGATTACAGATCTCGAGGAGCAATGTAAAGGTAGATGCGAATCTCCTGTGATGTTGAAACGCGGTACCTGGCAAGTCGGCGATGCACGTGCTAAGATGCATTGGGCACTAGACCCGGGGTGCTCGACGGCCCGAGAACTGTCGCAGGCTTCGCCCCACTTTCCTCTCCGAGCAGGTGGCGGAGCGATGACGGAGTAACCCCGCCAGAATCTGAGTATTCCGAATCGGACTCCACGCCAGTAGATATAGTACTAACAACTTTTTTCTGAACATTCAGACAATCCTACATCACACAAAATGGAGACTCTTACAAGTATGTGAGCTGTCAATCGATGCATTGGACTTTGACTAACGGTTCAGACACATTCCAAAACGTCATGGGCAGCGTCACAGGTGCGCACAGCGGAAAGTATGTGTATACACTGTCAGACCTCACGACTTTCCAACTAACAAACTTTCAGATCTGCTCTTCTGCTTGGTGCTGGATTCGTGTATGTCAAACGAATGACTAGGTCTCTCTCAAACTAACATGAACAGCACACGACCAACCGTAGACGTTCTCGCAAAGTCTGGCGTCAAAGTCACAGTCGCATGCAGGACGCTCGAGAAGGCTCAGGCTCTCGCTAAGGGCATACCCAACACCTCCACCATCAGCGTGAGCTCTCCCTGCTTACCAATTCGAAATGACAGACGCTGACTGTGATAGCTCGATGTCAACGACTCCGAGGCGCTCGATGCTGAGGTCGCCAAAGTTGATGTGGTTATCAGCTTGATCCCCTACACATACCACGCGACTGTAATCAAGTCTGCGATCCGCAAGAAGAAGAATGTCGTCACAACCTCATACGTCTCGCCCGCCATGATGGAGCTCGACGCCGAAGCCAAGGCAGCTGGCATCACGGTCATGAACGAGATCGGCGTTGACCCCGGTGTTGACCATCTCTCTGCCGTTCTCACAATTGACGAGGTACACAAGGCTGGTGGAAAGATCTTGTCCTTCAAGTCTTACTGCGGTGGTCTCCCCGCCCCCGAGAACTCTGACAACCCCCTCGGCTACAAGTTCTCATGGAGCTCCCGTGGTGTACTTTTGGCGCTGAGGAACCAGGCCAAGTACTACGAGGATGGCAAGATCAAGGAGGTTGAGGGCCCCGAACTCATGGCTGAGGCTAAGCCTTACTTCATCTACCCCGGCTACGCCTTCGTTGCATACCCCAACCGCGACTCAACACCCTACAAGGAGCGTTACAACATCCCCGAGGCACAGACCATCATCCGCGGTACTCTGCGTTACCAAGGATTCCCCGAGTACATCAAGGCCCTTGTCGACATTGGCTTCCTGTCCGAAGATCCCAAGGACTTCCTCAAGGAGGGCTCCAAGAGCTCGTGGAGAGATGCGACTGCCAAGGTTATTGGAGCTACCAGCAGCAAGGATGAGGACATTATCTGGGCCATCAGCTCGCGAACAAAGTTTGCCAGCACCGAGGAGAAGGAGCGCATCATTACTGGTCTGCGATGGATTGGTCTGCTCTCTGACGAGGAGATCATCCCCCGCGGTAACCCGCTCGACACTCTTTGCGCGACGCTGGAGAAGAAGATGCAGTACGAGGAGGGCGAGCGCGACTTCTTGATGCTGCAGCACAAGTTTGAGATTGAGAACAAGGATGGTAGCAGAGTCACACGCACATCGACGCTTGCTGAGTACGGTGATCCCAAGGGTTACTCTGCCATGGCTAAGCTTGTTGGTGTTCCTTGCGCGATTGCTGTTCAGCAGGTTCTTGACGGTACTCTGAGCGAGAAGGGTATTCTGGCTCCTATGAGCCCAGAGATCTGCAAGCCGTTGATGAAGACTCTTGAGGAGAAGTACGGTGTGTACTTCAGGGAGAAGACTGTCCCTGCTTAGATTCGAGATGTTCGTCAGGCCAGATCAAGGTCCGTCAGATAGATGAGTGTAGACAAAAGCATCGCAAATGAAATGCTCGGAAGACCTCAGATTTTCCCATGTATGCTCATTGAATTGTACAATGGTATATGCACATATGCACAGTATGTATCGTTCACTCATGGGGCCATCAGGGACCTCTCTCAATCCAGCCCCGACGCAGCAGGCGCCCGTCCACCTATGCTCTTCTTCGCTGCACCACCTCCGCCTCCAGCTCCAGCTCCACCTCCCATGCCACCACCAAACATGCTACCTAGCATATCGAACATTGGGTTTCCCTGTCGCGGTATCTTGATGCCAAAGTACATCTCTCCAATCTGATCCAACGCCTCATTCCAATTCACATCCTTCAAATCCTGCACATAATGGCTCTTGAGCTGCCTATACAAACTCGGATCTCCCCTCTCCACACTCAGCAGCAACAGTCCCAGGAAATTCAACAGCGGTAACGAAGGGTACACACGCAATTCCGTGTTATTCGTCGAAACGGTTTGTGTGTTGAGATTGGGCTTCTTGGCGAGTTGCGATGTGAATAGGAGGAAGAATTTGTTTGCTGCGCGCAGGTTGCCGGTGAGGAGGTAGGGTAGCACGCCGCGGGCGCAGTAGAGGGGTGCGGTGTGTGAGTCGTCGGCTTCGTACCAGGCGTATTCTATTGAGGAGAGGGTATTGGCGGAGTCTTGGGTGCCGAGGAGGAGGTGGCGTTCTGCGTCGTAGGGCTCGAGTTCTGTTACAGCGGTCATGTCAGTGGTTATTGTTGTAAAATTGGGATTGAGGGGGAGGGGGGAAATGCGTACCTTCAGCGAACAGGCTCCCTGCAACGTGATGGATTTCCGGATCGCCTGCGGGGAATTCGCCAAATTTGCTGCTCCATGCTATCATCTCGCTGACAAACTTCTTCTTGGTTGGCTCTTCCTTTGGGAATGAGCGTAGTAGGCTTAGCAGCTTTCCTTTGCTGCTCGCATCCGGCTTGATCTCGCCCTTGTTGTAGACATCGAGGAGGAATATGCAGAGGTCGCCACCAGACCCGCCTTGACCTGCTTGTAGAAGGGATTGCGCGCCTTCAAAGAGAATGGAGGTTGCGTTGGTCCAGTCCTGGGCTTTTGTGTAACGCGAAGCGACGACGCGGAGTTGTTGGTGGGCTTCGTAGTATTGGCCTTCTGCGATTCTGGGACATGTCAGTGGTGGCGCGTAAGGTTTGAGAGAGTGTTTCTACTTTTCCCGTTGTCGCTGCAACGTCTTTTCTATTTTCGTAGCCATGGCGGGGGGCGTGAGTGTATACGTTGTTATTTATGGCTCATGGGTCGTAGGAAGTTCCAGGCCAGGTTCAGGTTCGCGATGACGCACGAGCCTACCCCACAGTCTGGCGCCACACATGCAATGTTACACAGTACATACTCCATTTGCATGTCTCTACATCATAATATCTATATCGTCTACTGTGACTATTGCACATTAGATACACATGGGCAAATTAGATAGCTCAATCATTGTCATGTTGTGTCGTTATTGATTGTTGAAGCTCGTTCCTTGGAGCAAAAAATTCAAACTTCAACGAAGTCCTCCCTCTCCCGTATCCATCACCATCGCATCAGAACTTCAAAAACAGAGACTCTCGTCTCATCTTGCACCAGACGGGAATCGAACCCGTGGCCTGAGCATGGGAAGCTCAGATTTTACCACTAAACCACTGGTGCGATTGATTTCCTTTTGACATTTCATGACAAAAAATGCGATTTTGGGATATATGAACTCAGAATCAAGTTACTGCCTTACCACGACAATGAATCTTTTGGATGAAATCGAGCCCATTCCAGTATCCAGCCTTGATTGAGCCGACCGTTAGAGTGGGGTCTCTGCTACCCCTCAATCTGACACCTGTACACCCCTCGCGTCATGCTAGGGCGTGCGTCTCTACAACGGCTAAAATTAGCGGATGTTACTTGACTATCCTCGTGAACTTGTCCGAGTGGAGCCTTCAAGAAGGCAAACCGAGAACAACAAGACGTCCTTTACATGTTTCAAGGTTGATATGGAATTCTTCATCAACTCAGGGTCATTTTGTGGTAAAACACTGCAAAGGCCCTACCAGTTTAGCTCGACGCTAAGTAATTGTTCGACCCATCAACTTTCATCGCTCAGACATTATAGCCATTGAAATGGGACAATAGTATTTCACAAATGCACTGACTGCGCTCTCCCGTGTAGACGAGTAGGTGTCCATACAACCTCAAGGCTGTACCAGTACTGTTCTAGGCACACCTCTAGTGGAGCAGGCATGTACCTGCCGCAGAGCTGAGTAGACTGCAATCTCTAGCGCGAACGAGGTGTTCGATCTGAGGCTTACTCCCATGCAGCCTTATTGGGTGATCATGCATGTCTGGTCAGGCTGTCGACGTTGGAGTGTACATGATTTGGTAAGTTGGGTATGAAGGTATGTGAGCGACAGAGGACTTGGGTAGTGTAGTTTCCCACACATGTTCGGCGTGTTGTAGCGGAGAGTTTGACAAGTTGTGTGCATAGTGGAAATATCCCTTGCTATCTACCCAAGCATGAGATTGTGAACTCGAGCCAGACAATCAGGTAATCGATAGTAAAATAATGGGAACTTGGGAGTACACGATTTTTTCTATTATCTACCTACGTGTCGTTGTTTCGTGACTATGAGACTGCAGGTGTATCTTCAGCCTCGACCTTCCTCTTCTTCTTTCCGTAGTGTCCTCGCGCTTCTACGCGGCCTTCAAAGGGGAGGACGCGTGTGGCGGTGAATATATACCCTTCTGCTCCGCCTTTACTGGTCATCATGGGATGTGTTCGGCCGGGGAGGACTTGCCATTGTCTCGCTCGCGCAGTTTGTAGCATGGGTGCTAGAAGGAGTGTTGGGTTGAGGGGGAAGTCTTCGTCCTCGTCGCCACCTTCTGTTGCAATGTCCTCGTCGTCTTCGTCATCTTCGCGCTTATTGCGTTTGCCGTTTTGCTGTTTTTGTTTTTGTTTTTGTTTTTGTCTTTGTCTTTGTGGTTGCTGCTCCGATCCGAACTCTTGTGCAATGAATGCAGCTCTCCGGTCTTTAGAATACAGATCGCAGAGCTCGACAAGGGGTTCGACGCTGGGATTGTACACTACAACCTTGCCACCTCCTCTGACCAGTGGTACTAACGCTTTCAGAACACCCTTGGCATCCATGGTTGTGGCTACGACCAATCCGTCGAACCCTCCTTGTCTTGTCTCATCAACCACGCCCTTGACACGCTCCCATCGTCTTCGCTTCTTGTAGTAAGTACCGCGTTTACTCGACTTGAACGTTGCAATGACGTCGTCTGGGATGAGTTCGGGTTCGTCGTAGGTGGGATCATCTTCGGGGTGGAGCAGTGACAGCCATGATAGCGACTTCAAGTGTTTGTATAGGGGGTGAGAGACGGCTGGGGCGCCATAGTCGTAGCCGAAGTATTTGAGAAAGGAGAGATTGGGTTGGTTGTTGGGATGGAGGACGGTCAGGGTGTTCGTTGTTGCAGACATCTGGGGGACGTGGGGGCGGATGGGCTTGCGGGGGCGAGGGGGCTGATCTGAGGTGGTTGTTGGGTTTGTAGGATCGGTGGCGGAAGCGTCGGCGTCAGGCATGACAGTATCTGTGTCGATGGGTGTTGAGTCGGTCGGTGGTTGTGTTGCGCCATTCTGATCTGGCTTGGCCTGGGTATCGTCTTCGTCGCTTTCCAAATCGTCATTTTCCTCCTCCGGGTACAAAAGTCCCATCTTCTCGGCAAGTGCTGCTGTGAGCAGTCCGCCTGTATCGTCCACGACAAGCCATCTTCCTCCCCCTATCTGGCTGACACCATCCTCCGCTTTCATGACTCGGCTTGACTCTCCAGAGTGGATATTTGCCCAGCTGCAGATCAATCCGAGCAGGTCTTCCCTCAGCTCCATGATCTTGTAGGCTTCCTTCTCCAAGACATATTCGGTCAAGACACCAATATCCACTGGAAGCGCGGTGAAGCGCTTCATGTACTTTCTCGACTTGCGCAGGGTGTATTTGGCCAGGGAAAAGGTCGTCTTCTCCTCGATGGCGTTGTGCGATGCCATGATCTTTGCGATTATTTCCTTGCCAGATCCTGCGCCTGCCTTTTTCAGCTCTTCGATCTCAGCCATGGATAGCGCCTGCCGTGACGCATCGTCGACCGTCAGGCGGTTGTTCCGCATAATCACTTGGCCATCTTCGCCAACAATGTCGAAGCCTGAGGCGCGCTCTGCAGTGTCCTCGGTGGATTCAGTGGCGGGCGCATAGTCGTCGCCTAGCGCTTCGGCGTGCAGTTCAGCGGCCGGTACGACGCGCAGTTCCGTCTTGGATCTGCCATTGTCCTTGTCGAGTAGCTCGTAGGTGAAGTGGTAGGGCCGGCCAAGGAGGAGATTGGAGTTGAAGGTGCCGAATTTGCCCAGGTTGATGGTGCTGAGTAGCAATTAGCATGTCACATGACAGCGAGCAATTCGAGGTGGAGGCTCACTCCGGCTATGCGACGTACGTATTGGGGCTGATCTCGATGATCTTGAGGAGGCCTGAGGGAAGGCGCAGCGCGACGTGCGTGTTGGGGCGAATGTACGAGTGCATGGCGCTTTCCTTGCCAGGCTGAGAGGTGAGGTTACCGAGCCATGTGCAACTACCAGAGCTTTTCTAGGATCCACTTGGATTCCCCGTTGGGCGGTGCTTGCGACGGAGAGAAAGAGGGTTGCAGGTGAAGTTCAACTCGAATCAATCACATGCAGGCCAGGCGCGTTCGCATAAAAATTCCGGAGCTTCCCCCACAAGGGCGGCGCGCTGGGACGCTGGGATCCGCGTACCCGCCACATGCACAGCCACAGCCACAAGCACAGCGTCGTCATCGGCCGTCGTTGCGCCTGTTCGCGACTTCCGCATGTTCCCCATTTGGCCGCGTACGCCAATAAATCATATACAACGCCACACAACCCCCGTGGCCCTTGTTCTCACTTGACCTCCACCCCGTCCGTCGTTCGCCTTTTCTCCTCGCCCTCGCGCAATTCTTAGCCAAGCTTCACCACTGCGAAAGCCTGCCAAGTGGTGTAGCATAAGCTTGCCCATCATCTCACCACCACCACCACCACCACCACAACCACAACGTCACACAGCATGGTGCTCAGAAAACCTGAAGAGCCAGACAGCATCGTGCCCGCCCCCCTCTCCAAAGCGCAGCCGCCATACCCCACCACTCCCTCCGAAGAACATGCGCCTGCGCTGCCCTTGACACCTCCCGCCAATCCCGCCCACGCTCCCTACGCCAACACGTCGCCGGCCTTCCGCCTCAAGACTCCAGATGGAACCAGAACCTCACCACACAAACACGATGTCGACTCGGATCTTAGTGAGGACGAGTGGGGCGGATCTTCAGATGAAGACGACTTTGAAGATGTCAACCCTCGCGATGTGCCCGACGCCTTGAGGCCCGCCGGTGGGAAGGTGCCATCACCCGCACCTGCCAACAAGAGCAATCTGCCAGACGCCTTGAGGGTAGGTCCCCCTACTGGAATACCCATCAAGCGGTCCATGGACAACATTTCGCCCATGCCAACAGGTGCGAGCGCTGCTTCGTTTGGCGCCATGAGCACTGTTTCCGAGCACTCCAACGGCTCCATACCCCTACAGACGAACAATCCTTATCTCAAAGTCCAGACGACTGGACATAGTAATTGGGGCGGAGAGAGCAGCGAGGCGATATGGGGCACCGCCCAGGACCACAGTCAGAAAGGAGCTTCGCCCGTCGAGCTTCCAGCATACCAGACCCCCGTCATACCTACCCAAGCTATGCAGAACCTGAATGTTGACAGCCAGGTCGCTACTGAGCAAAGCTCCAAGTCGCCTAATGAGCCTCCGCTCATTGCCGTCGACTCGGCCACCCCTTCGTCCACCCCTTCGGCCACACAGCCCAAGGACGCCTTCGCCGCAAACCCATGGGCGCCAGACGTTGACCTCTCCTCTTCCAAACCCGTTGCGGCGGTTTTGGATCAGCCTGATTATGCATCACAGCAGCAGCAAGGCTGGAGCCAACCTCAATGGAGCGCCGATCAGGATATTGCTGCAAGGGCAGAGCAGACGCGCCATCGCGAAGATGAGATGCATAGATTGGAACAAGTTCCGCCGGCTTTGCATTCGAACTCAGACCTAACCCCTTCGTACGCAGAAGCACAGCAAGCAACTCCTCCATACGCAAACGCACAACCCCCAGCAGTCGTGCCACACGCAACACTCCCTGTCAGTGAAGAACAACCACCGGCACTGCCACCCAGAAGATCACACGAAGATTTTCCGCCAACTATGCCTCCGCGACCAATCGACACTGGAGCTGGCTCGTCGACTGCGGCCGGACCCGAATCGCCCAATACTACAATGAACAGGCAGAGGAGAGAACACTATCAGATTAAACACATTCGTTGGTACGACTACAACAAGCAAGGCATCCGAACCTCACCAATACTCACACAAAATCTGAATGGGCCATGTCCACTACTTGCTCTGGTCAACGCGCTTGTGCTGTCGACACCACCCGGCGTCGATACTGCACTGATTGAGACTCTACGTACGCGTGAGACTGTTAGTCTGGGCTTGTTGCTCGACGCTGTTTTCGACGAACTCATGTCAGGCCGACGCGGCGATGCTGCACAGGCATTGCCAGACGTTGGTGAACTCTACAAG